ATCGAGGCCGAGGTCGTGGAAGGAGGTCGCGGTTCACTTGAGGACCCCGTATCGCCATTTTCAGAGCGAGAATTGAAATTGAGCATTGACACTGGAGGTGGACTATGTAGGCTTAGTAGCTAAGTTAGCATAGCAACTTATTGGAGAAGATCTTCGAATGCCTATGGACAGCTACAGGTTGGTTGGGGTGTTGGTACTTCTGGTGACACCATTGGAGGGATCGGAAGATCCTTGGTAGGGGCTGAACTGGAGTGGAGGAGCTTGTTATAGGAGGTCCCTATCTTGTATTAATAATGACATTTGGTAGTGCTTCCCACAGATGACGTCAATGATTTTATCTACACCTATTGATTCTCAAGCTTGATGACCATTGATGGCACGAACAGGATCTCCAATGCCTAAAATAAGGCTTCAAAGTGTGTCCTTATCGCCATTCCGATGCTTAAGTTAGCGAGAAGAAAATTTATGTGAAATGCTATAAGTTAAAAGCATGTAAAAGTATACCTTGATAATGAGCAAAAACCTTGTATTTATAGAGGTAGAAGTGCAATCCTAGTAGGATTGAGTAACTTAGATACCTTATTTTATCTAAGAGTCTTGGAAGAAGCTGAAGCTCTTTGAAAAATAAACATTGGAGTTCAACCTACATTGTGAGACCAGAGTGTTTTGATAATATTGAAATTGTAGAGGTAGAGTCACTCTAGGATAAGGAACTAAAGGGAGAGAGAGTGGAAACATCGGGCAATCACATGGTTAAGACGTAAACCCGAGCTCCAACGATCGACCTCAATGAATGGTTTGCTGCCAACTCCATTGAGGTCAAGTTAAATGGTCCTCAAAGTCGATCCAAAATGTGTCCATGGGACAAGCAGTGGATATGATTATACCGACCTTGAGCATAGGACCTTGAGATTGGGGTTAAGCTTTAAAAAAAACTGTGATTATTACTGACATTCAGAGCATTTACAAAAGTCAAACTTTAAATCTTGGTCCATCCCTAATCACCCTACATAAAATTGTGGTTGTTTGGAGTTGCACTAAATGTGCTAAATATTTGCTTATTGTTACACTTATATTCTATCATATTTTTACATTTATTAATTTTTACCTTGTTTGAGCATCATTTTTTCCATCAAAATACATTTTCAACAGTAATTTGACCTCACTTTAATCACACATTATTCAATAAAATAATATTACATGCAAATATATAACTTTTCTTTATTTTTTAAACACATATTTTTCATCAATATACTATTCAAAAATGCATTTTCTGATAAGAATGGAGCTCAAACAATTTCTTATTTAAAATATAGCAACAAGTAAATCTTTTTACTCTCTTGCAACTGATTTTTTAGATAGAATCATCATCAAGAACGAGATTTATTAATCAATAAATTGATGATAAAAATGCGATGAAAAACTTATGTGACAATGAGAAAATTTTGAAAAAACTTCAATGCATTTAAAAGTAGTGCAATAATAAAAAACTGTAATGCCAATATAATTATCATTTGAGAAATATTAACTTAACCATTTTTTCCCTTTTTACTAACAATATTCTTTTAACTTTAATAGAGAATACTTATTAATAACACTTAGTTTATGTTGAAAGCTTACATTATGATTAGGGATGATGACAAAAGGGCACTCTCGATGAGGTGTGAAGGGGAGGTGGAGGGGGACGGGACGGGACGGAGAATCTGGTTCTAGCTCCAAATTTTATTTTATTATTATTATTTTTTTTTTTAATTCCTCGATTCTCATTCTTTTAAAAATTCATTTTTTTCAAAATTCATTTTCAACTACTCATTCTTCAATAAAATAATATTACACGTAAATTTAAAACTTTTCTTTAATTTTTAACTCCACATTTTCCATCAATCCACTCTTCAAAATATATTATTTCCCCCAAAATTGGGATCAAACAAGGGAAAAATGTTGAAGCCTTAATTGTATTTAAAAAATAAATGAGGTAGCAAATAGATTTTTTTTTTTTAAATCCTCTTTTCATCCCTAATTATAATTATAACAAAAAGCTGAATGTGAAATAACAAATTTTTAGGTATTATACCACTAAATAAATCAATCACTTATCCATTACTCTATTTCATCGGCGATTTTAAACTTTCAAACCTTTTAAGAGAAGTTTGAGACAAACAGTTCCATGCATTTCAATTGACAATTTCTAATGACAACGCTCATAAATTGCAACAAAATTTATGTTTAGTGAAAAATTGTGAAAAAAAGAGTAAACAAGCAAAATGCGTTATGAAGGTGAAGTGGATTAGATTTCACGATGAGAGAAGATAACCTTTTAGGAATATGTATACAGTTTTTTGTTTGTTGAATTTCGATACTACAATTAGCACAATTAACCATTCCGTCTAATGTAACTTGTAAGAAGTAATATTTCAGCATTCGAATTTCAGTTTTTTATCAAGGAAGATATGTGGATGCCCAAAATAAAATTTGAAAAAGAAGATATACATCTAATTTGGCTAAGCTTAAAAAGTTTAACATAGGTATATAAATATGGCTTTTTTTTTTTCCTGATAAAATAATATGATACTTATTTTAACAATAGTCCACAAAGTGAAAGAAACATTTTTCTTCTGAGTTTCGAGTTTGTTAGGTTTTAATTTGTATTTGCTAGTATTTAGACAAAAAGATTATTATAAAAGAGTTATAAAAGTCAAAAAAATTAATTGGTTAGTTGTTTAGTTGGATAAGGAGCTTTAGAAGTTCGAGTTCTTCGAGAACCACTGAGGTAAGTATACAATTGTAAATTTCACGACCCCATGGGATTAGTTGAGGTGCGCCCAAGCTGGCCCAGACGCCCACGATTATTAATAAATAAATAAATGTCTTGGAGTTCAGTTATAGAATAGGAAAATCGGTATTGCACTTTGGTTAGCCTATTGCCCAAGACTCATTGGAGCAGCCGCATTACTAAATCAACAGAAAATTGTTGCTCGCCTCTTGCTCAAGTGACAAACCACACTCGCTAGCCCTCACTTTTCGCTCAAGAGACGGTATTATCCAGCAAAAACCTAGTTTGCGACTTTAATCTGTCTTTTAATCTTAAACAACCCCAAACTCTCCAAACTATAAATATCCAACCTCTATTTCGTCAAAAAGTGTGGCTGATCATTATTTTCTACATTCACAGCATCCTTTGGAGATAAAACAACAATTCTACATCTTGAGATCAATCAATCACAAATTAGGAAAAATATCAAAATTATATAATTTAAAACACCCACTTCCTAAATATAATAAAAAAAGTACTTTCTCAATAGCTTTTCAGAAGTTGCTGAAAATTAAAAGAGGCTGGACCAAACGCACAGAAGAATACAAGATCAAGGTGTTGTGGTGATCCACAGGAGATAACAATTTCAAAAAATTGAAAACGGGTGTGAGTGAAAGACATTTCAGTGGATCTTGGAGATTACAAGAATTAGATCTATAAGTTTGGTGGATTTTCTAGGCTAGATCATACAATATGTTCTTATTATTTATAGTGAAAGTCACTAGCTTAGTCCCGAAATGTTTAATCCTGTGAAGGATTTTCGCTTTCAATAGCATCTTTGATATATATATATATATATATTTATATATATATATATATATGTTTATTTTTATTTTTTTTTAGTTTTGATGTTTTGCTATATTAATGTCTCAATTGTTGTTTTGATTAATATTAATATTACATCTTGATGTAGCTAGCATATTTATGATAGTGTGTTTCAATTGATATATTTTTTATTTCACATGCTTTTATATTTGGTATTTGATTTGTTGATTTTAGGAAACAGGTGTAACAAAAAATGCAAGAGACTGACATTTAGTTTGAGTTTGGATAATTAGTTTTGTTTTAACTTTCTTGACTTGCATTGTAAAGTTTTGTAATAAAATACCAAAGGGAAAGTTTGTTAGGTTTTAATTTGTATTAGTTATTCTTTAGGCAATATGCTTATTATAAAAGAGTTGAAAAAGTCAAAGAAATTAATTGGTTAGTTGTTTAATTGGATAGGGAGTCTTGAAGATCAATTATGGAACAAGGAAAATCGACATCGCCATTTGGTTAACCTACCGCCCAAGTCTCGCTCGAGCGACGACATCAATAAATCAACAAAAAGTTGTTGCTTGCCTCTTGCTTAATTGATAGATTGTCGCTCGCTGGCCCCAAGCTTATCGTTTGAGCGACGGCATTATCCATCAAAAACCTAATTCGCTAGTTTATTATGTCTTCCAAATCCTAAACAACCCAAACTATAGATACTCAACCTCTATTTCGTCCAGAGTGTGGTTGATCAATCATATAGCTAGAGATCAGTCAACTACAAGTTGGGATAAACATCAAATCATATAATTCAAAACACTAACTTCCTAAATAGAATCAAGAATGCACTTCTTCAACAGCTTTTAGCAGTATCTGAAGATCGATAGAGGTTAAACCAAAAGTACAAGAAGAGTACAAGATCAATGTGTTCTCGGTGATCCATAAGAGATAGACAATTCCAAATTATTGAAAGAAGATTTGAGTGAAGCATATCCCAGCAGGTCTTAAAAATTGCAAGAATTAGACCAGCGAGTCTAGTAAGTTTTATAGGATTGATCATACTATAGGTTTCTATTGTCTATAGCGAAAATCATTGACTTGGTCCCAAAGTGTTTAACCCTCTGAAAGATTTTTTCCTTCAACAAATTTTGTGTTATTTATTACTTTATTTACCATTGTAACAATTCATCATAGGATAAAAATTGACTTAATTGACCAAATATCTAGAACAATTAAAAGATGACTTCTTGTTTCAATTGACAATTTTAATTCCAAATTTTTTGCCTAGTCACCCCCTCTAGAGATTATATGATCGGACTAGTAACTTTTAGAGTTCTATTAATTGGTGCATTTGTTCCATAAATTGTTATAGTATGTGTACGTGAATACTTCAATCTAACTCAAATTTTATGAGTAGTCAAGCATAACAAAATAATAATAATAACAACAAGAGGAAAATTATTGTAACAAAAACAACTCAATCATGTTTATCTACCATCACAAACATGAAAATGAAGTATCCAATGTTTAACTTAAAAACAACAGAACAGCCACGAGCTCTTCAATGCCTTGTATGAATTCCCGAGAAGTAATAATACTACATAAAGCTTATATCATATTACTCATTTGAAATACTAAAAACTCGATCAGGGATGGAGACTGCTAATAAAGCCATCAGCGTAATCTCCTGGCCTCTCTCTCGGACTCTAGCAAGGTGAGGACATCGCCTTCCCTAACTGGTCCCTTGACATTCCTCATAATGAAACGGTTCTGGTCATCAATAAATTTCACTCTCACCTGAGTAACTTGGCCACGAGACCCAGTCCTGCCCATAATCTTCACCACGATAGCATGCTTGATTTGTGAATCCATTCTGCAAAAAAGATACAATTTTTTCAGGAGATAAAATGTATGCTTCCACATAACTTGTGGAGAGGCAAGCAATCCAACAAGTTTATTAAGCCCCTATTCGATAGCCACTATTTTGAAAAAATAAAAAATAAAAAAAATTGAGGTTTTGAAAGTGATTTTTTGGAGAATGTGTGGTTAAAAAGTATGGACAA